TATGTCCCTTAGAGAAGGTAAACCATTTGATAACTCCTCCAGCATGATCCCCTTAAACTCGGCCAACAATGGCTTCAACACATTAGGAACTGGCGTAGGCTCAATGGCCTTTGCCTCCTCACCCTTCACTATTAGGCATAAACGTCCCCATTCTTCTTAACATCATCCTCAATGGCTAGCACAACAAGAAAGGACCCCTCCTTTAGCCAGAAATGCTACGGGACGATTCTCTCCCATTGGGAGGGCAAAAACAACCTTGACATTATCTCTAAAAAAAGTGTAAGTATTGTCTTTCCCAATATAGGCAACATCTATATTAAATTGTCATGGCCTCCCCAACAAAATATGACAAGTATCCATATCCATAACATCACATACAATATCATCTTTATACTTTCCAGTTGAAAAATAGATACAAGATTGTTCTGTGACCTTAGTTGCACCCACGCTCTTGATCCACCCAATGGTATAAGGGAGCTTCTCAGCTCGTAAGTGCAATTTATCAACAACCACCTTAGACACTATATTCTCGCTATTCACAGTGCATGTGGTCCAAAAAATGTTGTGTCGCTGAACGTTTTGTTTAAGCTACAGAATGTAAATTAGCCAACAAACATCGAGAGAGATTCCCTCATCACCATAAGTCCACGCACTCTCATCCTTTTCTTCCACAATCTCTTCCTCGATCAGGTAGTTTCTCCCCGATCAGCCCCCTCAATATCAACTAGATTTATTGCACCCATCTTAGGGAACTGTTTAGATCGATGGCTTGATTGACCACATCGAAAACACTTGTCTCCCCCAAGTCTAGCATTGGGATTCTTTGGTGCATCATTAATCGTTGGACCTGAACTTGAGGTTACTGCCCCTAAAAGTAACCCATTGTTGATTTCTCGAATTAGGGTTGAAATAGGACTTGATGCAACCATAACCTGTTTTCCTCGGTTCACCACAGGGCGTGATGAATCCAAGGAACTCCGACTCTGCACCTGACTTCTCGCCTACTCTAACTGGGACTCTACCCACGTGTCTAGGTGAATGGTTTCTATTAGAGTTTGTAGGAAAACTCTATCATAAATGGTAAAACAAAGACCGACAACAAACCGAACAATCTTCTAATACTCGATCTCAGTCAAATTGTTATGGAAGAAAACACTATAAAACTCCTTCGTATATGCCTGAAAAGATCGACTGTCCTGCTTACAGTCTTGATACTACAAGAATAGTACCTACTCAAAATTAGGAGGTAAAAACCTTGTTCGGAGCAATATCTTCATGACCAAGCACGAGTCGAGAGTATACCTTCCCACGAAAATGTAAGCTAGACCTATTCCCACTGAGCAGAAGCTCCACCCTTCAACTTATAGGCCACCAGTTTAACCTTGTTCTCCTCCAAAACATCCATGTAGTCGAAGAACCTTTCTACCTCGGCTAACCAATCAAGGAAATCTTCGATATTAATATGACTATTAAAGCTGGGTAGGTCAACCTTCATATGAAAATCCTTAACATCACAACTAGGATCCCTATAATCTACAACATTCCTAAACAAGAACTCATCTTCATCATCGCTGCAATATGCAATCCGTGCTCCTCTCGCGGGTGCACCACGGATATTCTGTCATGCAGGATGGATTGGATTACGATCTCCATTGGGTTAAACATGAGCCCTATCGTTGTTATGTACCCTTTCTTGATTGAGACCCTAGTTGGGCCATCGTTAACTGAGCAACCGTCACCTACAGTGCTTGCATAGATTGCTAGAACTGTTGAAATTGCTATTGTTGTTGTCGTTGGGACTCTAAGAATTCAGCTCTCGAAAGAACCCTTTCCACATGATCACCGTCATTAAGAAGATTATTACCAACTTACCATTGCGTTGATTAGCCATCACACCAACATAGGCAAGACTCTGATACCAATTGACGCAGTGGGAAAAAAAAACCACAAAGAACACTATGATTCTTTATATATCGAACCAAAAGTAATACTCTAAATCCATCGAGAAAGTAGAGAATAACTCTGAAATATATTATTCAATTATCAACTCATAGTACAAATGAGCAATATAAATAAGAATGGAGAAAACTTTAATTATTACGAAAATGGAAGCAAAATCCCTAAAATTACAAAAAATAGAAATATATAATTTTTCTAACATAAAAGCACGTGTCGTCTGGAGTCCAACGAATCCTATAATTTATTATTAATTTTTGAAATCTTTCTTAAAATGGCAAAAACAGGGTATTGAGGGCCTAAACAATAGAATTCGGTCTAAAACTAAAGCAACTCACAATGAAGCAACGAGTCTTAATCATTGGTCCGATCCGAATCAAACACCACTGGTCCCACTAAATTCAACGTCTGACTCATTTTGCTCTACTATTATTTTTTATCATTTCATTATGCTTTGAAGGCACGACGGTCAGCATGTTCCAAGTACTCTATTGCCACCTGTTCTACATCAATATGACTAGTGATTCTTCCTAATTAACATCTACCTTCCCCCCCTCCATCTGTCTCTATGATGACAACCAATAGTACATAAATGTCCTTGGCCAGTGTTGGTCTATTATGTCTCCACAACTTACATTTCTTGATGTTTATTATATTCCACAACTTACCTTAAATTTGATTTCAGTTTATTAACTATTGAACTCCGAATTTTTTGTTTTGTGTTGTACAGGATTCACTTTTCTTCTTCTGATTTGACTAAAGAAGTCATTATGGCTCCTCCTCCTCCTCGATTACCTTATAGTGTTGGCCAGGTGTGCAAACTCCACAAGGACCACAAGGCATTATATAGCCTTAAAAAGACTCCTGGCATATGGTTTGTCAAATTTTCTTCGATCAACTGTCACTTGAGTTTTCGTATTAATGATCATGATTTTGCTATCTTTTTGTGGTCCACTTCCTCAAGTACTATTGCTCTTTTACTATATATTGATGACATAATTATTATATGTGATGACACTAATGGCATATGACTATTGAAAAACCAATTGCAAAATCATTTTGAGATGAAAGCTTTAGGTTAGCTCTAGTATTTATTGGGGATTAAGGTTGCTTCCTTTTCCAAATGTTATCTGCTCTCTCAGTCCAAGAATGCATCAAATATTATTCAACGAACTCTTATCCAATAATCAAACAATTGAGACACTGTTAGAGCACAATGTTTGTTATCCTTCTTTTGATGGTACTCTTTTGTCTAATATTACCCTCTACCACACCATTGTTGGGAGTCAAGTATATCTTATGATTACTCGCCCAAATATTCCTTATATTGCTCATGTTATTAGTCATTTTGTTGCGTCACCTACTACTATTCACTACGTTGTTGTTCTCCGTATTCTTTGATATTTACGAGGTATTCTACATCAGAGTTTATTAGTTCCTTCCTCCTTTGCTATGGAACTCAAGACTTACTCAGATACTGATTGAGTTGGTGACTATATAGATCGTAAGTTCATCACTAGTTTTTATCTTTTTCTTAATGATTCTCTTATTTCCTGAAAAAACAAGATGCAAACTATTGTTGCTTGTTCCTCAACTAAAGTTGAATACCATGCTATGACATCCACCAAACAAAGATAGTTAGGTTATGAAGGCACTTTACTGATGTTGGCAACACTAGTGCTATTCAGATTGTTCACAACTCATTCTTCCATAAGTGTACTTTTGCACATTAAGATTGACTGTCATTTTTGTGTGTCTTCATTCCAACTAGGCACTACCTCTCTCCCCTTCTTCCTTCCACAATGCAATTAGCAAATTTTTTTTACAAAATCTCACACCATAGCAAGCTTTTGCTTTCTGCTTGACAAACTCTTACTGTTTTCTACTAATACATCATGAGTTTGAGGGGGGTATTACAGTATATTTAGATATTTAGTCTAGTATTAGGGTAGTTTAGTCACTTGATTTATTTTATGTTACCCTAGTATATATAAGTCTTCTATTGTGTATTTTATTTAATAAAGTTGTAACACATACTATGTGTGTGGAAAATAAATCCTTTTTTTCTCTATTTTTCTTCTCTTCTCTCTTTCTTTTGATCAAAGTTTACAGGTAACACACCTAGACTAAGAAGTAGATTGAGGGGCCCATCAAGCAGACCTATTAGAAGGACATGTTGGACATGTAGATCAGGTTTCTTATGATTGATGGAAATATTAACGGTTTGCTTTCTCACCTCCATCACGGGTTTAAGAAGCCTCCATCATATTTTCATCCATCTCACTTCATGAGGGTACCAATCATCATCAGCGATCCTTCAGTCTCTCTTTAGGAGTACTTAAGCTATTCTCAACCTTCTCAAGCTTCATCTCTCTGAGAAGTTCAATCATCCTTCATATGTAACCTTTAAGTTAGCACCACTATTCTCATCTCTTGGAGGATATAAAAAACATCAAATGAATTGGAGGAAGTATCTACCCACAGGAAGATTAACCTCGGTATTCTCCTATAAAAAAGGAGCCTTGATAACCTTGTTGCTCTTACTTTTGTCACTCTCTTCAACTTGCTAGAACTAGAACCTCTATTTTTTCATCGTGAACCTTGCTTGGGTTGGCTTGAGTAATTAGAGATGTTCATACGCTCTGAATTGTTGGAACATGCGCTAGTCAAATGACAGAACACCACGCACTAGTCGTTTTCTGTGGCAGCCACCTTAAGCTTCACTCATGCCTTGTGAACAGCTTGCTACCAAGTATCAAGCTAAAGGAGTTAGGAATCATGAATGGCTTGATCTCACGAAAGCATAAGCAAAAGTGGGCTTACTTCCAGATTACATGAAAACCAACAGAAATCCAATAAGCTACAACTCATTGGTATCTAAACAAATTCTGTTTAATTACTTCTTTCTATTGCGAACCAGATCCGTGAAATCTATTTGGTTTATTCTCTTTCAAGAGAAGAAGCACGACTTTGTCATTATCCAAATAGTTCGTGTACTAAATGTGGTTGATTCAATGCACCAAATTTTAAAAACAACTTTGTTTCTACACATGGGTTGATCTTTTCCACACCTATGTCCAACATAAAAAGTATTAAAGAACAGCAAGGGTTAGTAAATATGAAGTCCAAATTTATTCAATCAATTAAATGTAATTAATTTCCAACTAAGGTGTCTTCTGTAGGGAAGTAGGAAGCAGAAAAGGGGCGAAGAGGAATTTGTCACACATGTAGTTGCTCTTTTGTCTCTATCTGGCGGTCCAAAACGAGCATATTAGTCTATTCCCTATTCCCGCTCTCTTATAAAGAATGGGACTTTTCCTCTGGCCTCGTTGTCTCTATCGATCTCACAAGTCTCTCTGGTATAGGCAAGGGTTCATATGTGAATGGATCCCTTGACTTTATCCCTCTCCTCCTCTAGTTTGGTATTTTTCTTTACTTCGGTACTTGTTGTGGAGCTAAGGTGAAAAAGAGCTTTGGGAAAGTCCCCAAATGGACTTAACACTTGGGTTGGTTGTTCGGGGGTCAAATCTTTTGAAAAGCTTTTTTGAGGCCACCTTTCTTAGTAAAGGCTTTTGTTTGCATAATATTGTATAAAAATTGATGTCACCACTTAAATTCTTTTGTTTTGATACGAAAAAGCAATTATTAAACTGAAGAAAAGAAACAATGGCGATAGGCAAAAAAACCAAACAATAGTAGAAAAAATTTAACATTACAATAGAAAACCAATCCCTCAATCCTTTCTAACTACATGCCGCAATTCAACTCCGGTGGATAAAAAAGCATATAGTACTCCGAAACTCTTTAGTAGTTGTTGCCCATGTAGAGACCAAAATTGTAACTTTATCCCATAAAAAATTCATACTAAAATATTGATTTGTCTAAAAAAGCATGGTTAGCATTCCTTAACCAAAAAAGGGGGAGGGCATTGCAGTGGAAATTAAAAGTAATGAAGGAAAAGGATGCAGATGGAAGTAAAAGAGGCATCTCATGCAATGACATCACCTCATATGCTCGCCGCATCTCTCTTTCAGTTTCATATTCAACAAAGGCAAAACCACGTGAAGCACCAGTTACTGCAAACAAACCACCAGTAAACCAAAAAGACAATCATCATATGACACGTGTATTAAAACGAAGATTTTACCATGCGAAGTATTAATTCATGGAAGAATAAAAAGCTCATAAACTTGAGATTAAACAAAAATTCTGACAACCATTCTTCCATTTTCCAACTTTAAATAACCAATTCAGAATTCAATTAGCATACCCAACAAAAAATGATTTAATTACATTATACACATTATATTTAAAAGACTGCTCACAGTATTATTCTTGAAATTTCTGATTAAGTGTAATGTTCCCCGTGAACATATACAGTCCACAAATTTAAGATTTACACGACATTCTCTGCCTATTTTCTTTTAAGGGGAAATACATCTAGTAGGGGAGAAAAATGTTATAGAAAACAGCAAATACAGAAAAAGAAAGTGAGCCCATAATGGATGTTTTCCATGTTTCAAAAATTCTTCAATTTAGGACAGGGTTGTTTGGGCATTGGGCTGGGGCACAATTTCTTTACACCCTCAAAATCAGTTATTTTGAAATTATATGTTGGTGCCTTGGCAATGTTCTTGGGAAGTGCACTACGAAAAAATCACAATTTAAACAACTGGATAAATAAACACAACAAACGCAGGAAGTCATGAAAATGTTCAGGTTATTAGCCACAATTCGCTGCAAAAATCATAATAACAAAATGAAATACGGTTCAGTTGCAATTATCAAAACTACTTATTTTCTCTTCTAAACAGAATACCAATACATTTTCTCCCTTAAAAAATGAAAAAAAAAAAAATCCAACAACTGAGAAACCACAACTCTTACTATAGCAAAAATTTCACCAAAATTCAAACCATTTTATGGATTTGTTTCTTTTTTTTTTTTTTTTGGGGGGGAGGAGTGGATAGCAAATTAAAAATCTTAAAGCAAATAACGTTTTGAACACAAGCACACATGGGATGTAATTCCCAATCCTAAATATCCAAAATTTCCGAATTTTTAAGCAGCAGACAGAGTAACTATTACCAATGTGTCTAACCAATCGCAAGTTCTTGACTCTTCCGTATTTGCTCATGGCCTAAAACAAACACATCCCAGATCATCAATTCAAATTAAGAGCCATTTGCTTTCCAACAGAGATCAAGAAAACGAAAGAAACTCTTCCTCCCTCATTTTTCCCATTTTTTCTCCGAAACCAAACATAGCAAGAACAAGAATTCAACGGAAACTACCTTGCGTAAAGTGTCTTCGGTGGTGAGGTGCGAGAGCCGACCAACAAACACAGTGCAATATGGGTCCCCAATAACCTTTGGATCACCGAAGGGGTCATCTGCAAGATGAAAAGCTTTAGATGGAAAATAGGGCGAATGACAGGAATTAAAGGGGCGTGAAATGAAATTAGAGAGAGATTACAGAGGCCAGCGTTGGAACACAGGAGAGCTCTGTAAACGGCGTTGTCGTGGGGAAGTATGTCCGTTCCGTCTATGCTTCCAGCCTGGATTGGATGATATGTCTCTGCGTAGAACACTGAGTTTATTTTGCTACTGTTCCCACTCATTCTCTCTCTCTCGTTCTCTCCCATTCTCTCGCTCTTTCCCTCTCTCTCTGGATTATGCGTCTCTTATGTCGCCGGGCATTTCTTTATGTGGCCATTTTTTTGGAGAAAATATTCGAGGTAACGTGATCATTACGCTGGCATGTGCTATCAATGGTATCACTAATTAATTATTGTATTCTTTTTAACACAACTAAATATAAATTGAAAGAAGAGTACAAAGTTAAGCATGGAGACTCGATCATGCCCGAAGGTTAGAAATGATAATTATCAACCTAATCTCCTCAGTGGTTTTAAAACTTACACATAACCCTCTATTATTTTGGACCTAATTGAAAATATTAGGGTTCATTGGATAACGATTCGGTTTCAATTTTTTTGTTTTTATTTTTAATTTTTTTAAAAATTTGAAATTTAAACTCTTTTATAATCGTTTTTATTTTTTTTAATTAAAATCGTTTTCAAAATTTCCACAGATTTTAGAAACGAAAAGAAATCGTTTCCAAAAAAACACAAAAAGAGGAAATGAACGGAAGACATTTCACACTATCTTACCACCGAGTCTTGTTAGCAACAAATTAAGTCTCTGACAAAAAATAAGTCTCTGACAAAAAATCCTGAAGCAAAAATATTTAAACCCTCAAACCTCCCTCGTCTCATCGTCTCTCTCATTCCAGGCATTCAACAGATGCGTTCCAGGCGTTCCAGCGAGGCATTCCAGTAGCTTCGTTCCAGGCGTCTAGCAACTTTGTCTCTCTCGTCTTCACCTAGGTCGTTCACAACTCTTTCGTCTCTCTTACCAAGGTAAGTCCTTAGATCTAGGGTTTTCAGAATTTTTTTCCTTGTTTTTTGGCTAGATTCCTTAGATCTCGGTTGTTTCTTTGTGCTAGATTTATTTATTAGATCTGTAGGTTGTTTCTTTGTGTTAGATCTAATTTTTTTGTGGTAGATCTGATTTTTTTTAAAAAAAATTATTAGATCTGGTTTTGTGTTAGATATGTTTCTATGTGTTTTTTGTAATTTTTTCTGTGTGTTACTTTTTTATGTTTTTTGTGCGTTTTCATTCACAAACTTCTATGTGTTTTCGTTCACAGCATTCTACATAAAGCAAATCAGCCTTTTATGTGTTTTCATTCACAGTCTTCAATGTGTTTTTGGTCACAGCACAATCCAAAAAAAGCAATGGCTCCTGCAAAACAGGTGGAATGAATATTCTATATTTGCTAAATATTAGGATTGTCCACATATACTTGAAGAGAAACAGCGAGTGATATAATAGAAAACTTACAATACAGCCACCAACAGGTGTAGTGATAGTTTCATCTTTGTTATGTTTTCTAAATTGCTGGTCTTGGTAAAGTTGCAGTAAATTTTCTGCCAACCATGATGGGTAGAGGCTTAACACAGTAGGAGAGCTAGCTGGAGTAAATTTTGGTAGGTAGTGGACAACAAACATTGTCCACAGCCTTATGTGTTTTTTATATTTTTTTTCTGTGTGTTACACCTAAATTGAAACTTTTGTTAAATGATCAGTCAATATAATCATTTATGTTATACAGATTTGTTTTACATAGCCTCATTTGCTGTTCAGATTGATTTCTTAGCCTCACTTGTTGTTCAAACTGGAGTTTTTACTGATTTTTTTGTCAGTAGAAAACTGCCAGCAGCTGGAAGAATGGTCTTACTCCGGGACCAATCCAGGTTGCCGAATGCAAGGATCAGGCAGACTGTGGCCAGTAATGAGAAAGCATGGGGCTAATTCTGTAGAATGCCAGCAGTCAGCAGGCATGATCTACAGCAGATTCTTAGAGAGCATGCTGCCAAGTGCAAGGATGAGGAAGTGGAGTACTGCCAACAGCTGGTAGGAAGTTTATGGCAAGTACAATGCAGGATACACAAAGATTAGGCAGACTATGATGTGGGATCAGAGCATGGGGTTGTCTCTGCTTTGTTTTGAAGATTGTGTAGCTGATTTGTGATAGATAGATAAATGACTTTAGTCCTTTTGAATTAATGTCAACTCTTGTATCTAGATTTGTTTGAATTGCTTTGATTCTTGTAATTCATTGATTCATGGAATAAAATTTTTCTTTTTCTTAAAAAAAAAAATAAAAACTGTATGGTGTCAATATGTTGTTCATAAAATAATTTAGAAGTGTGTATCAAACAAGTTTTCTGTTTTTATTTTCATTTTTTGTATAACAGAAAATACAATCAAACGTGTTTTCTGTTTTCATTTTTTATAAAAAGTAAAATGAAAATCATTTCAGGTTTTATTTTAAAAAAAATTAAAAATCGAAAACGTTATCAAACGTAACCTTAATTTTTCTATCTCTATTTAGTGGAGAGCAACGTACACATACCTTAACTGATGGTGGGAAGAGTTTCATTCAAAAAAGAAACATACCAACACCCAAAATATCCCTTGTATACAACAAAAGCTCACTTCACCTTCTTGAAGGTTGTGGCTTGATACGATATATTTTTTTTATTTCAAAAATTTAGTTTTTAATTTTATATTATATATCTCATTTTGTTATTTTAAATAATACTAATTTTATTGCAACCTATTTTTGTAGAACTTATGTTTTCATTACAAAGTTGATAAAAATTGTCTCATTCAGCAAAGTCAAAATATGAGATCATTCTTTACATGCATAATGCATTTAATGGAGTTTGAATGCAACTTCAGCATATACGTATGAAATTATATGATTAACTAGTAAAAAAGGATTTTGACCAAAAAAAAGAAGGAGGCTGGCACAAAAGACAACATTCTTCTAATTTAGTCCCTATTTAAATTCTTTATTTGCCTCTAATCTTGTCCAGAAGATTTGCAATTGTTGGGCCACTCTTGCCAGCACCTCTAGCAGCAGATCCACCCCTTCCAGTAGCAGCAGTTCCACCCCTCCCAGCAGTAGAAATTACAATAGTTCCACCCTTCGCAGAAACAGAAACTGCAGCAGCTCCACCCCTCCCAGCAACAGATGCAGCAAATCCACCCACCCAATAGAAACTGCAGCAGATGCAACCTTCTCAGCAATAGAAACTGCAATGGTTCCACACTTCCCAACAACAAATGCAGTAGTTCCCTCCTCCCAATGCCAATTGATCCAACAACTCCACAAATTCAACACCTCTTACTCTTCTTGCACCAGTTCTTATTAGAAGCTTTTGTGGCCTTGGATGATTATTCACATAATTCTTCACCCATGATGTTTGGTGAACTGTTGGATTAGGTTGTGTTCCAGCTCCATTAATTGTATGTGCAGCTACCCTTTGTGAATCTTTTGCATCATTTATGGATGTTTGTAATAACAATAACCATTACATTTACTATACAGAATTATGATACACTTAAATTGTAGAAATGAACATGACCTAAAGCCACTAGAATGTGTACCTTCTTTGATTTGAGGTGTGGTGCATTTTTGTGAGACCTGACATTATGTCCCTCTTTAAGACATCTGACACAAAGTAATTGGTAAGTGTTTCCTGGATGCTTTAGATGGATTTATTGGCTCATTTGGATCTCTCCTCCTCATTTTCTTGGGTCTGACAAGTTGTCTCTTATATAAGAGTGGTAGTATTGGATTATATTCTGCATCTACCCAGCAATGATGACTAGGTATAGGATATATCATGTTTTGATATGCATCAATATAGGACTCTCTCCTATAGTATGGATGAACATAATCCTTAGGCTTCATCCTTAATTTTTGAATGGCACTCACAACATGTTTACATGGAATGTCTGATAGATCTCACATCATACAACCACATGTTCTACCCCCAACATCAACTACTGATATTCTATCAAAGCATTCTACCTCAAATTTTTGCTCACCTACCCAGCTAGCAAAACAATTCCTATAATCTACCTTTATGTCTTGCAGCTTTGACTTTATTGATGGACAAATGACTCCTTCATATTTCTCTATCTCTATCCTCTTCATTTGAGTCATGTTCATCAAATACCTCCCAATCCATCCAGCTAGTCCAACAACAGGTTTGTCTCTAGGCCTTGTTCTAAAATGTGACTTGGTCCAATGACAAGGATTTATTCTTGATAGCTGATTAGTAGTTAAAATTAGCATCTTACTATGTCTTTTTATGACTCATTGTGCTTCAATAGAGTTTCAATGATGGCATTTCAGGAGAAATATTGTACAAGGGTCCAAAGTCGATGCATATCAAACTTTCATGCAACAATCACAAGTTCTGGAAGAAAATTGGAGAAACTTGAAACAAGGCATGAACGTTCGAACACCAACCCACATTCGAATGTCATCTTGAATGATTGGAGGACCAAACTGCTAAGATGATGATACATGGCATGTTGCAACTAGAAGAAAAAAAAGAGGCACTTGAGTACCACGTTCGAACGTCAACTAACGTTCGAACGTTGACCTGAATCACATGAGGACCCCTTGGAAGAATGTGTTATTGCGTATGGTGTATGAAAGTTGCTCTCAGAGAAGAACAAAGGCCACTTGAGTGGGAAGTTTATACCACATCCAGCATTTGAACGCCCATCAAAGAAGACTAGAGACCATGTTCGAACGCCAATTAATGTTCGAACGCTGTCCCCAAACAGGCTACAGAGTGGTTGATTTCTATTCGAATATTGGGGCTTTCACATAGACTTTGGAGACCATGCACTATTCTCTATCTATCCCTTGCCCCCTCCTCCTTGCCTATAAATACTCCCATTTTGGGAGCTTACGAAGAGTAGAAAAATTGTAGGAGTTAGGCTTAGACTTAGACTCACATTCATAGTCTTACATAGAGAAAGATAAAAGGAGATAGATCATCTTTTGGTTGAGGTGGAAACCCTCCAAAAGTGACTAGCTTTCTTCAATTTTTATTATTAGTTTCACTTGTTTCCATTGTTTGAGCTTCATTCTTCCCTTAGAGGAGTGGAACTCTTCCACTTTTTTAGAACTTTACCAAAACCGTGAAGGGTGGAACGCCATTCACTCGTTCTTCATCGAAGATCAGCTCCTTGTGTAGTGTGTTTTACTTTGTAACTCTTCTACTTGGAAGGATAAGCATCACTCACTTTCCTAGTTTTACCAAAGTCATGAAGAATGATTAGTTTCTCATTCATTCTTTAGTAAGAGGTGATGAACATGTATAAATCATCCGAAAGTTATATTTGTGCATTTTTTTTATGCTTAATGATTTATATTACACTTGCTTATTGACTGATTCAATGCATCTAGCAAAGTTAAGGTACTTTGTATAACTATGGGTGCTTTCAATGACATAGATGACTCTTGCATAGAAAAATCCATTGTTTCTAGGCAAGTACTCCGACTAGATTTTCATGACTACATTTTAATCTTCATCATTATTGTACTTCATTTAAAGAATGAAATATTAATGCAATGGTTGGATGCCTTGTAGAAACACTTGCTTGTTTGTAGATGAGTTGAGTCTCAGTACAGACAATTCTTATAAACTTTTACAAAGACAACGGAACCATGTTCTTAATTCTTACAATCCATCTTTATATTCCGATTAACTTCATGTTGACACAGGGGTTAATTGAGTCATCGACCACATGTATAATGAACCGGATGATTAACTATATGTTCAGATCCTCGAGTTAAAGGGTGGTTGTTACATTTGATAACTTATTATATTTTGTCTAGAAAAACCCCTTGAAAAAAATCTTATATTTTATCTAGGAAATCACATAACTTCAAATCTCAAGGGTTCCAGTTACTTGGTCTCTGTCACTGCTTACTTCGAAACACCAACAATAGTTCTCTGTGAATTCGACTCAAGACTTAACCAGATTATTACTACAGCTTGACCGCCTACACTTGGGTGTACACATTTCAAATCAAATTTTGAAAGTGAGAATCGCCCTCAGACATAAAATAAGATTATACACAGTAAAAATTTTTCAGAAGAATTTTTAGGATCTGTAAATCAATCTGGATCATCTTCACCTAGATTACTGGCAGACTCTTTTGAGAATAACATGACAAATAATAGGAGAGAAGGGGAAGATTCTGTGAAAGAGAGGGAAGTTTCTAACATTTGAACTCTGAAAGATTATTTGCATCCCACAAGAAACAATGTACCCTCTTGGTTTGTCATTCCTGCAAAATGCGCCCCTCTTTACTGTAAAGGCGGGGATAGTGCAGCTACAACCTCAATTTCATGGACTCGAAGCAAAAAACATATCTACATATAAAAGATTTTGAGGATGTATGTGGAACATTTCAAGACAATTCTGGGTTGGCCAAATTAAAACTTTTTCCTTTCTCTTTAAAGGACAAAGCTAAATTCTTTAAAAACCTTTCAATACCTAATTGGCTGACATTGCAAAATGAATTTTTTAGAAAGTTTTTTCCTCTACACCGCACCAATGCACTCGAAAGACAAATCTTGAATTTTTCAGTTAAAGAAGGAGAAACATTTTATAAAAGTTGGGAGAGATTCCAGGATCTTCTCCAGCCCTTCCCACACCATACTTTTAAGAATTGGACTTTGGTAGGATTTTTCTTTAACTCCTTTCCCACTAGACTACGTCAGTTTGTCGAAATGATGGCTCAAGGAGAGGTCATGGAAAAAAGTCCAGAGAAGACATTCAATTTTTTTGACACTATATTTGATAGTTCTCAGATGTGGAACTCAGCCTCTCCTACCACTGTTGAAGTCAAACTATCTACTTCCCAAGGGGATAAGTATGTCTTGAAAGATGATGATGATGATTTGAGAGTAAAAATGACTATCTTGTCTCGAAAGCTGGAAGCTCTCGAGATAAAAAAGATACATCAAGTTGATGTTGGCTCTCCCATAAAATAAGTGTGTGGGATTTGTGTACTAACAGGACACCTACTGGAGAGTGTCCTACCATTTTGACATTCAAAGAAGTCATGTTGGAATAAATAAATACAATTTCTAATTTTAACAAGCCTTACTCTAACCCATATTCTGAAACATACAATCCAGGGTGGCGAAATCACCCAAACTTTAGTTGGAGAAACACATAACCAACTCCTATGAACCCACAACAAGGGTCACAACCACCATCTTAAGGACCTCCCGCATATCAACCATACCAACCACCACAAAATAGGAGTCTTAAGGACACACCGAATCAATTCATTCAAAGTCAAATGAATTACAACAATAGTTTCACTTAGGCTTTTATTGATTTCAAAACTCAGACCACTCAATCTTTCAAGGATCTTAAAAGTCACATCCAAAAGTTGATCCAATTCATGATCACACATAAGAAGGGAAAGTTCCCTGCCCAACCAAAACAACCGCAAGACCAATTTCATGTGGAAAATCCTTCGATCATGGAAAACCCACAAGACCAAGCCCAAGTTGTCACTACACTGAAAAGTGGCAAGGTGATTGACAAGACTATTAGAGACATGTTAATTCCAAAGCCAAAACCTGAGTCAATCCTAGTCAATGCACCAGTAGAGCCTAAACTTGTGATCAAAGAAGAGCCTAAACCTATGATTGAACAGTAACTAGAACTGTCAAAGGAAAAAGAACTTTTGTGTCATATTCCTGCTCCTTGTCCTCATAGACTCAAAACAGTACAAAAGTTGAATAACCAGCTAGAAATTTATGAGCTTTTTAAGTAAGTAAAGATCAACATCCCACTTCTGGATGCAATCAAACAGGTTCCGTCTTATGCCAAGTTTCTGAAAGACTTGTACATAGTTAAAAGAAGCCAAACTGTTAAAAAAAGAGTTTTTTTGACCAAACAATCCAGTGTCCTACTTCAACACAAAATTTCTCCAAAATAAAAAGATCTGGGATGTCCAACTTTGGCATATGTCATTAGAAACTTCAGAAAGAACAAACACTATTAGATTTGGAGACAGTGTCAATTTGCTCTTTTTCTCTGTCTACCAGCAGTTGGGTCTGGATGAACTCAAATTCACTTGTGTCATACTCCAGTTGGCAAACAAATCTGTCAAAATTCTTAGGGGTATTATTAAAGATATACTTGTCCAAGTGGGCAACTTTGTCTTACCTGTTGACTTCATTATTCTAGATACTCAGCCAGCAATGCATTCAAAGAATCAAATTTTTGTCATTCTTAGTCGACCCTTCCTAGCAACATCAAATACACTAATCAATTGCAGGAATGGAGTCATAAAATTAACTTTCGGGAATATGACTCTTCAGCTAAATATTTTCAATATTGACAAACAACCAGACAACCAGGAGAGGACAAAGAAGTAAGAGAAATAAATTTCATTGAGTCTTTGATACAGGAACATCTGAATAACACATTTTGTCAAAACCTTACTGAATT